AAACTCTGCAGACTTTACCAGAGGGAACGGAAAGGGTGGAGAGAGTATTTATGGCGAACCGTTTGACGATGAAGACTTGTCCCATGCCCTGGACTCCGAAGGGTGAGCATCCCTCTTCCCTCGCTTCCTCAGGGCGAAGACTTACCAATCCCACTCTTTACGAATCAGTCTGCTCTGTATGGCGAATAAGGGTATGTCTCAACGGTGTCTATTCAAGTAAAAGTAACTGATCCGACCTCTTTGTGTCCGCAGGACCAAATACAAATGGATCCCAATGGTTTATCACTCTCAAAGATTCCCCCCATCTAAACGGGAAGCATGTTGTCTTTGGGAAAGTTGTTTCAGGTACGCCCTGACAGCTCCTCTTCCAAACACGTGTTGCTGATTGGTTTGGTCCTTCTTCTTCAAAGGTTTCGACATAGTCAAGAAAATAGCAGAAATCCCTACTGATGAAAAAAGTCGACCTCTTCAACCTATCGTCATATCGCATAGTGGCGAGCTTGAACTGAGGAAAGTCCCTCCAAAGGCGGCTGCCCGTAAGTTTCTGCACAAAATCATTCGAGAGAAAGCTCGACCTCAGTTTATAACACGCTTTCGTTCAGCTCGTGGTCGCTCAACCTCCGTGTCATCAACGGAGCGCAAAAAGAAGCGTCGTCATTCCTCCGACTCGCGAGGATCGGAATCTGAGAGCGAAGACCGCAGGCGCAAACAGAAGCATCGTTCTAAGAAAGAGAAGGAAAAGCAACGCTCATCCAAAGATAAAGATAGGACCAAAAAGAAGTCCCGTCGCTCTCGCTCGCCCGCCGATGACCGTGATCGCGAAACAGGGGGACGAGCCGCTTCGCCCCATGAGGAGACTTTGGAAGAATTAGATGCCAGACTAGAGAGAGAAGAAAAGGAAAGACTTGCTGCTGCTAAGCAAAAACAGCTCGAGGATATGAAGAAACGGGCAGCCGAAGGGGAAACGAGCGGCGGGGTTCGATTCAAAGGTATTGGCTCAGTCTTGACTCGACGTGCTCAGAGGAAAGTCTGACTGTGGTGATTTCAGGTCGCGGCAGAATGAAATTTAGGGACCCCGAGCTAGACCGAAGAGATAGGGGTGACGAACAGCGGCTTAGGTACTAAATGTTGTCGTATCGTTCTTTTCCTTCTTAACAAAACACACCGCGACGAACAAAAGACAAGCGAGGACAGGCAGGGTGATATAGAACAATCTGATACAACGCAACATAAGGTATAAAGTCCTTCAGAAGATCGTACACACAGATGGGAGGGGGGACGACAGCGACCGAAAGAGCGAAGCTAGATGGGAGTTGAAGAGAAACCTGCAGACGGGACAGAAGGAAAAGAAACCGAAATGGGGAAAGGGCTAATGGAAGACGATGAAATGGAAGCGGACACTAAGCCAAGACTGAGTTGCGTGATTGTGGATGTCCAAAATGGGAAAGCATTTTCAGGGTGGAAAGCGTGAGCAATCGGGTTATTTACTCGGCAGTTACCTCCTTGGACCGAGCCTCGTCACCCTGCGGCTCTTCCTCCTCTCCTTCGATAACTGCAACCTCACCAGCCAAAGCGGCGAACGAGAAGGGTTTTTTGGAGGATGCTGCCCCTCCAGCAGCGGGAGGTGTAGTTGAGCCTCCGTCATGTGATGTTGTCCTCGAGTGAGCAGCCGACGCAGACCGCGAGTTTCCTCCCGAGGTCGGCTGCGTATCTTGAGCGCGTCGATCCCTCCAAGCCCCCTCCCTTTCAGGACCGCCTGATCGATTGAAAAATCCGCTTCGTTCGTTGGATCGAGGGGGACGGTTCGAATCGTCCGCAGGGCGTTCCTTGGGCTTGGTATCGCGTTCTCGAGCTAGTTTCTCTTCGATCTCTTTCTCTCTAGCAGCTGCGTCGACAGGCTTAGCTGCGCCAAATGGGTTGGAGCGGAACGAGCCACCGTTGGGAGTGGCAGCTTTTGGTGAGCCGACGGGTGAGGTTGCCGTCGACTGGCTGGAAGTACGAGGCAGGAGTTCTAGCTTGCGTCTTCCCATGTTTGGCGTGGTTGGAACGGATTCGCTCGCTTTAAGGCAAAGCGTTAGTCACGGGACTGTCCTCACGCCTGATCGATGGAGAAACCCAACATCGACTCACGAGATCTTTCTGGAGGGATTGGGCCTCGCCTAGGTCCAGAACGCCAGTCACTTGGCTCATCATCCGCAGCGCGGTTTCCTCCCTCCCTGAAGAATGAACTCTTGCTGCGAGTATCTGAGGGAGGCCCCGAAGGTGTGGGAGAGAACTTCGAGCCCTTGGACCAAGTGTCCTCGGTGTCTGCAGCGTGAGCAGGCCCCTCATGTGGAGTGAAACCGGAAGTCTTCCTTGGGCCAGTGGAAGGGCGGTCGGTCGGCGGTGGGGGTCCCCGAGGACGAGCAGTAGATCTCCAGTCGGAGTTGTTTTCAGCCTCGCCGGGAGGCAAATCTCGAGACCCACCACCGCGGGGGCTACTAGGGACAAACCGCGAGCCGAAGCCCATTCGTTCACCGCGGTCAGCGGAGGGAGCATCACTGAAGCGCGAACCACCTCCACGAGGAGGACGGTCGAGGGGAGGAAGGGGCCCGTCACGGCGCCAAGGAGAAGAGAACTTGTCATCGTCAAAGCCGCCGCCACGCTCACGCTCTTTCTCTGTCGGATCAGACGTCAGAAAGAAAGGGGAAAGGTGAGTCTAAAGTTGGCTCACGAGGTTCAGCGACGCTAACGCGAACTGTTCGACCAGACAGTTGCTAGAGGCCACGAAGTATTAGGGAGGTCCCCCACCTGGTCCAGATGTACTCACTACTCCCGACTTGGCCAGGCCATCCTTTAGCCCTTGGAGTGTCTCGAATTCAATATAGCCAAACCCTTTGGGTCTGTCATCCCTATCCTTGATAATTTTAATGCTTTTGAGCTGCTCGCCAGATGAATCAGCCCCGCTGTCTCAAAAAAAAAACTCTGTAGGTGCTCTAACGTACCGGGATTTTGAAGAAATCCTCCACATCCTGTTCAGAAATATCGAAGGCAAGATTGCCAACGAACGCTGTGTAAGGAGGTTTGGTGGGCAGCGGCAGTTCCTCCCTGGGAGGGTAGCGGCTCTCTGGAATTCAAAAAGGGACCCGATGAGTCCCTATTCAGGGGGCTAGAGGGACTCAGATTTCGCACCTCGAGGAGGATAGTCGTTGTAGCCACCACGGCCTTCATAACCCCCAGAACGCGATCCATCTTCGGCTCGGGCTGCAGCTGTTACCCGCCACATTAGCCTGACTGCTCGGTCGAGTGACTTGGATTGCGAAGGGAGAACTTACGAGCAGTTGGGAGGCTGTCCATCTCGTCGGCCCACGACCCCAATGCTAAAGAACTGATCCATCAAGAAGGGACTAGCGAAATTCCAAAGTGGACTAGACGCACAAGAATCCTGGAGGAAGTCGCTGAGGGCCATGGTCTTCTGTTGTTTCTTCGGAGCTGGAGGGGAGGATCGAGTCTACGGTCAACGACGTCCGCATCCTCCACAGGTACTCGATGCTTACGCATGATTGAAGGTTTCCACTTGAAGCGTCTTTAAGCGGTGGGTTTTGTTAAGGAGTCTCGAGCTGGGGGTGAGAGTAGTCCTGGACAATTTCTCAATTTCCAGGCGCGGACTTACGTTCAATCGCCGGCCCGGTTCCGCTTCGGTACTTCAGTCATTTCCCTGCATCCTCCAGCCGCGCCATGTCCGTCAAGACTACGACTATTCCAGTTGCCGGACTCTCCGTGAATGTGCACACATGTGACCAGATGGAAACTCAGTCAATCACGGTTGTCTTCCTTCTCCATGGTCGCATGGGGTCCACAAAGTCCCGATACATGGACACTTTTATCGCGCGCCTGCTTGGCTACTCCGATAACGAGCAGACATCGGTCTCCAACTCAAGCAAAGGTCTTGTGGTCGTCACATTTGTAAAGTTCGGAACCCCCGGGTCACTAGGCCTCATCTGATGCCGGCTTAGGACCACCGAAATCATGGAACCCGAATGCTTGACGAAACGTCCAATTTCGGATGGGCTGAAAAGCAGAATAGGCCCAATAATAAGCACGCGTAAGCTTGCCTTTGAAAGTATGATCTTCAAGGCCGGTTCGTTCTGACATGTCCAGTGGGTGGCTAGGTTGGACATGTATACTCTACAAGGTATGGCTCTACTCTCTAGGCCTTTCCCACCTCCTGTTGATGGGCCATAACGTAGTCGGGGCCGTGAGGGATATATCGTTCTTGATCGACTTCCTCCCGTCATATCTGTATCCAACGGACGAGCGTCACGTCGTGAGGTGGGGCGTGATTGGAGTTAGCCTGGGAGGCCATGCGGCTTGGATCGCTCTTAAAGAAGGTGAATCCAGCGAACTTGGAGTGGATAAGGAGCCCCTAATGACACCCAACGGCAGAGCCTCGGTTGAGTCTGGGCATTCCTATCATAGGCAAGCGCACGAGCGATTATGATAGACCCATAGGTCGCTAACGGTGCACGGCCTAGGTTGTCCAAATTATCTCGGCTTGATGGAGGCTCGTGCTATTAAAAATGGAATTGCCACTGGACCTCCAATCTTTCCAGAGAGCCTCCGAAAGTATATCGTGGAGCATGACCCGGTGTCAGTGCCATACAAGGAAGAGTCTTCCTCCAATCCTTTTGTGGGGAAGCACATCCTCGTATCGTCAGGCGGCGCTGATGAACTGGTTCCTTGGGAGTTCAGCAAAGAATTTGTCGAGGGGCTTGTTGTCGGTAAGGAGGGGGTGAAGCGCGTCTTTTTGCAAGACGGTATTGGTCACTCAACCACCCCTGAAATGATGGAAGGAGCGGCAAAATTCGTCGCATCATGGCTCGGTGAACCAGATATCTAGTGTTGGCCGTAATGCGTATGGAGTAGTTGCTCAAATCCGTCCTGAAGGGGCTGGAAACGGGTGGAGTGACGGGGGGTGAGATGTAATTATATATACTATTATAGATGAAATTAATCACGAATCCCTTATAGCTCAGTGGTAGAGCGCGTCACTAGTACGGAAATACTCCGGCCATGACGAGGTCCATAGTTCAAGTCTGTGTGAGGGAAATTTTTTTAAGCCCGAGTCCAGTTTCAGGGCTCAACTCCTCTTCCAATCCTTTTTTTCTCTTCCATTAACAAGGATCCCGGGTTTTTGGTCAATGTGATGCCATGGTGTTCATCAAATCGCGCTTGTTTCTTTTTTGTTTGCGCTGCAGCTTAGCTGGCCAGGACCTACGGATAGCTTTCGATGTTGAAGAGTCAACCATTCTCCTCCCAATTGATACAGACATCGTTCTGACTGCCCTCAGGACGACTCTCGTACGAGCTCTGGAGACCCGAGAACGTATTGAGTCACGTGCGGGCCCGAAACGGTCCACGCGCAAACAATCCGTTTCTCACCTTTTATACCTTCCAGCCCCTCTCCCCCTCTACCTACATGACGACTCTACCAGCCTCCCCAGCATCCCTCACAGACGCAGCCCTCGATGAAGTTGACGAAGATGCGGGCATCTTCTTGTCCAAGGAGACACACCCCCAGGAAGAATATTACCAACGGAGGATAACCCGCTCACAAACACGCTGTGCGTTCAGGCTTTCTACATCCCACAAGTCGCGGGGCACCAAGTCACTGATACCCGCAAAGTAACAGGAACTCAAACTGTGCCATCGTCTCGGGGAGGAGACCCACGGATAGGGCCTCTTGATCTTGTCAACGAAACCGGTAGGTTTCTGGTTCGTCTCACCAGCTGAGGCTCATCTCCTTCGTCTGCAGAACCTCTTGGCATCATTGATCGTCCACCAGAATCGACACAGCTACTACTTCCTATTGAATCGACGGAAGTGGTATCCACTTGGCCACCCATGGCTGTTTGCTCGAACTTGGAGGAACAAGGGCAGGAGGGCCCGCTGCCGACTGCAAGTTCCAGCGAAGCCGCCCCGCCTCTTTGTCCGTCCCGGCCTCCTCCAGGACTGGAAGATTTAACATCAGGGGATACGAATGAGGAGGTTGTGCCAGGGGTGCCTGCACCTCTGAATATTCAATCCTCGACTGATGCTCCCCTCACGAACGCTGTTCCTTTGCCAACACCCACAACCCCTCCTCTACCAACATCAGACAACGATACTCTCCCATCAGTACCGCTGCAAATGCCTCAAACACCATCCACCGATCTCATATGTTTCGAATCGTTTCAGCTACCATCGCCGACACGTGCAGTGTGCACACCTCCTGGGACCGGAACACTCACGTCCCAACCAACCGACTTCCTTTGCGCATCCCCAGCCACCTTGCCTCCTCGTGTTCCCGACAACGAACCAGCGACGACACCGGATCACAGCCTGGGGAACTCGTCCACGGCCGTTCAGAACGTTTTGCTTTTCACTCCGAGGACCACCGCTTCCTTCGCAGGGGACGTCCAAGTTCCAATCAATACTGCTTTACTCATGACCAGAGAAAAGGATAAGCCCGCCTCGAAAACCGAAGCAAACGAGCAGGAGATGGGAGATGAGGAGGAAACGCGACCGGCTAAAAGGGCGAAACCCGAGACTCCAGTTAAATCGCAAAACTCAGATTTATCATCCTCTGTACGAAAGCCAATACCAACCCCAAGCCGTGCCACGCAACGAGGACCGCCGTTGGGACAATTTGCAGGTGCTCGCTCGCCGGAGAAGGGCAGAATGGTGACTAGCAGCACTCCACAGAGACCGTTCGCCCCGAAGACTCCAACTCGTCCGCATACCTCATCCATAAAGGTCCTTCCAACGCCAGCAAGACGTCTATTCACGACGCCGCAACGACCTACCCTTCCTCAGCGGCCAGCCACAGGCTCCAAAGCCGGATCAATCCGTCCACCTGCTGCGCCCGTTTGCCCTCCTTCTGCCAGCTCGAACCTCCCCTCCGACTTCCGGTTTGTCTTCCAGTCTAGCATGGCTATGCCCAAGTCACCAGAGGCTCGAAATCACGCCAATTCACAGAAGCCAGAACCTGAGATCAAGCCGGTTCTTCTGAACGACTTCAAGTTCGTTCCAGCGCCGGTTTCACCATCGAAACCATTCCTATCCTCCCCAGCCAAACCATCAACATCTAAATCCCTTGGGTTGAGCACGTCAAAAAAGGACCCTGCTGCAGGGGCTGCTAGAGCGTCCCCAATCAAGTTCAACCTGGCCTTGTTGAGCCCCAAAAAGGCTAGAGTCGTACCGAAGTCGTCTCCCACTGCGACTGAGCGTTCCGCCTACGGCTCTCCTGTTCGTTTTGTACCGCCAGCGTCTTCACGGTTGAATTCCTCGTCAACACTGCACTCCACCACAACTGCCCAGGGACCGTTCAAGGGAAAGGCCTCGGTCAAGGCTGCCCTACCCGCTGTACCTGAAACCGCCGATAGTCCTTTGAAACTTCTAAATGGCGGCCCAACAGTGAATTCGAAACCGGCCAATCCAGCACCTATCCTGCTTAAACCAACCGCGTTGCCCAAACCCAAAGGATTCAAATTTTCGAAGCTCCCCAAACCCGCTGGCATTCCAGTACCCCAATATTCACGAACTGCAACTGTGAACATGGTACACGTTCCCCGTGTGGACCTTGGAGGTTCTCCAACGAAGGTAAAATCAATCTTTTATCCTCGAGAAAGCCGCATTTTGACCTTTTTGCACCTACAACAGCCTCAAGCAAGACCTATTCCTGTGCCTCCACCACCAGTGATTCCAGTGGCTGCCCCTCCTCCCCGAAAGAAGATCTTCCGCCCAGTTGTTCCTGGTACTCTAACCGGGTGGCAGGGAAAGCCAGCCACAATGATCGAGACGCAGGACAAATCCCCCACTCCCGAATCCCCTAAACCGCCGAGTGACTCTTCCCCTGAGATCACATCTTCCGAAGGCGATTCATCTAGCATCAGAAGGTCCACACGCCGGAAAGTCTCTAACACCAGGACACCATCACCAGAGCCGGTGAACGACCCTTCGAAGTCGGACGTAGAGGAACAATCATCCCCACGCCGCAGCCGTCGAATTTCAAAGGAGAAGGAGAATACGGCAGCTGACGATCAGCCTGCCAAAGCAGCAGCAACATCACGACCCCCTACAGCGTCCCGAGGTCGGACACCTGCTACTCCGAAGGCACCTGCTGCAGGGGCTCCGGGTTTCCAAATGTCGGACAAGGAATTGAAGAGCTTGACGATGAAGAACACCATCCGAAACCAGACCTACTTCGTTGAGATTGACCTTCAAGTCGTCCGTAAAGATTGTCCCCGACCTCCTTCTCCCAGCACTAGAGTCCGTGCGGCAATTGGCATTGAGGAAAAGGAGGCCGAGGCGAAGAAACGAGGGCGAGCAGAACGGGCCAAGAAGAGGGGCCTCTTAGAAGATGAGATGGACAGGGAGGAGGATGAGAGTCCGTTGAAACATTTCCGAGGCCCAGGGGATGAGGAAGATTACGAAACGCCTAAACGACGGAGGTTAGACGGAGAAGGAGGTTTCGCAGCTGGGGGCGTCGAGGCAGAACAGCCATTTGCCTCGCTTCAACTTCAACCTCCTCCAGAAGGAAAGAAATCGCGATCCAGAGCTGGCTCATCTGACCCAGCTGCCCCCATCGTCTCGGAGATTGACCCCGTGGATCGTTTCGTCAAACCGAACTCGAAGGGTCGCTTTGTGCGATGGAGCAAGAAGCTAGCCTTCCATTGCGAAGCAGGAGAGAAAGTGAAAGTGGTCAGCAATTCCGGCAAGGGTATTCTCGCTAGAGATGCTGTGGTATGTCTTTCGTTTCCAAATTACCCTCGAAGGTTCTCATCTCATTCTGGCTTGTAGGCTGCCAACCTAGATAAAGTGGGCAACGTTCCAGAAGCAGGCAAACTACCCCCCGAAATCAGGAAGAATGTCGTGGTGGTGTGCAAGTATGTTTATGCTGATGATCCGGCCGAAATTCAGGAAGACGTGGAGATGGAGGAGGAGGTCGACGAAGTTCCTTCTCCTCCAAAGAAGGGGAAGCGGAAGCGAACAGCATGAACAGCCTATACGACCATGATGACAAGGACCATAATTTCTGTGCTTTCCCTTATTCGCTTTCTGCGCTATCTCGTTCGATTTGTAGCATGTAGTTTTCGTCTTTCTCCACTTTGCGTTATGGTGTCAATATAATACTCTAGTAGGATGCACTCTCTCGGGTCGGCCTGCCCGCAAGGACCGCGCCACATTGGGATGAACTGTTGTCATTCGAAGAGGAAAGAATAACAATAACGTCGAGAAGAGAGGATCAAGAGCCAAGGGCACGAATCTTCTTGACCATCGCGACTTTGCTGCGCACCTATAGAAGAGAAGGTAAAGAGATCAGACTTATTGAAACCCGCCTCTCTTAATGAATCACTCCGTACCAACTGTCCGAACTTGCGACGGTGCGTCTTGCTAACAAGCCGACGTCTTTTCACTCCCTTCTTTTCGTGTCGTTCTTGTCCGCGAACAGTAGCCCGGACCGCGTTATCGCGAAGGATGCCGTTGAGTCCTCGGTACGCAGCCGCAAAAGCTTCGCCCTTGACGGCAACGCTACGTCCCGTATATGGAGTCGGAGGGGGCGACGATGCCAGGCGCAGAAGCACCTCCTTGGATCCGTACTCCCACAACTGTTTTGCGGATTGTTCGTTCTTGGCTTGGAGGTTTTGACTAAGGCTGCTGAGCATTGATACCGCCATATTTTCAACATCGACAATGGTTCGGGGAGATTTATGGCCAAAGATTTGCGAAGGTTGACCAAGTTGAAAAGAAGGGGTGGAGGATACATTAGTTGGAGTTGTAGCGGGTCGTTTCGATGATGGTTGTCGTCGTTCAGTTGCGTCAGTCAAGTGAACCGAAGGTGTATAAACGGAAGAAGACTACAATCAACATCGGGTTGGGATGAGAACCGGAATCACTTTACTAACACATTGAGTCTTCCTACTGTGTCGTTCAATGGGTCTCCAGCCCATCCTGTCGCAAGACCACGAGTAGCGCGAGGTGTGCTGGAAAGACCACCATGAGATACTGAGGAAAGAGATGATAAGCCCCTTGTAACACTGCTAGTATGCAGCAGTCTTGGAGGGTAT